TTCAAGCGCCAACGGGATTTCTCTTGGGATAGGTTTAGGTAGAATTTTTCTTAAACGCCATTACACAATCTCTTTCTACGTACGAATAGATACAGCGCATATGAAATATCATTATATGATTTAAGAAGAATATTCATTACTTTAATTTTCATTTCTTTGATTTTATTAAAAATCTCAGGGACTGTATATCCATTCACGCTGGCTTTTTCATAATAAAAGTAACATCGGAGATTCCTTGCCACCGAGATATCGGGACACAGGAAATCGTAACTTTTCGAAACTACACGGGAAATCGCGAGCGCTTATCCCCTTTTTTTTTCTCTTTTTTGTTCTCGTTAATGATAAAGAGGGCATGTCCAATGTAACTGTAAAATGAAAATGTTGTATTAAGAAAATGATGTAACGCAAATCTCTCCCGTGTGATTATTGGCATATATGACAACCCGATCGGAACTAATTAAAAATCGGGAATGCAAAAGGCGGACGTATAAATTCTGCCGTTAATAAAATTGCGAATATCTATGAAAATTATGCTCGAGCGATATCGCAAAAACTTTGACAGGATACGATTCGTAGTCAGGATCGAGAAATCAGGATTGTCCATCGATAATAAAGTGTTCTAGTAAAATGCGGTAACGTTAGAATAAAATTCTTGAGGATTATGAAAGATAAAATTCGATGCCTTTAATGCTTGCTATTTAATATGGCATCAATTGCACTATGCACGTTACGTACAGCTAATAGCGCAGAACGGAAAGAGAATTTCCCGAACGTTCATTTCGAGTTCGGATCAGCATCGCGTATTGGATACGCGTCGTAATATCTTCGACTGTAGATTTCTTGGCAAAAATTTAAATATTTGTTACAAATTTTTTAACGCCAAGTTTTTCAGCATTGCTTCGTTTGTGTACTTAAGCATGTAATTTTATACAAACAAAACGTTCTATTTATTTTCTTAATTATTAATAAACTCCTTATATAAAGCTTTTCTTACGGATGTTTTAATGACTTCTTTGGTGTGCTAATGTTAATGTAAAGTGAAAATACTTCTTGTACATTCTGTATATCCGGTTTCACGGTACATGCCGAGCCTGCCTAGAATTGTTCCGGTACGACAATCGCGGAATCATAGCGAATCGCCGAAGGCCGCGGATCATTAAACAATCAGCGCTAATTGTTCAATATATCCGTCATTATAAATCAAGATTAAAGTAGACGTAGGCGTGAACCTTTGCCGACGTCGGTCAACCACGATAATCACGTGTTCGCAACACAATGGCAACGGACAACCGCAAACAGCGTCACGCACGGATATTCGCGAGCGCTTAAACCGGCGTTTAAACATTGCCTGCAATCCACTTAAACGCGAGCAACATGCTAGTTAGATTTTAATTGAAGTCGTAATACATGCCCCTCTTTCTTTCCGGTCGGACTTAATGACCGGCTTCTTTCTTCATCTCCCACGACCAGCGCCGGAATTACAATTGACACCGTGACAATGCGCGCTCGTTCCAAATTATGAGACTTAGGGACTCGGCGAACATCCTCCTTCAAGCGCCAACGGGATTTCTCTTGGGATAGGTTTAGGTAGAATTTTTCTTAAACGCCATTACACAATCTCTTTCTACGTACGAATAGATACAGCGCATATGAAATATCATTATATGATTTAAGAAGAATATTCATTACTTTAATTTTCATTTCTTTGATTTTATTAAAAATCTCAGGGACTGTATATCCATTCACGCTGGCTTTTTCATAATAAAAGTAACATCGGAGATTCCTTGCCACCGAGATATCGGGACACAGGAAATCGTAACTTTTCGAAACTACACGGGAACATTTTAATTGCAAAATTTTACTCGAAAGAGATATATAGATCCGCTGATCTATCCAACTGTCACGTTTGTCAGAAAGTCAACGTACAGTTTATTGCTCGAATAGTTACGGAAGCAGCGGACTTACCCAATAATCGATTTATTTATCGCAATCTGAGACTGGGAGCTGTCAACATGGGGACTGTTGGGAGCAACGGCGCGGCGATGCGTTTATAATCCGGCAAAAACGATCTGGCGGAGTTAATGAGCCGCGAACAGCCTTGAAATCGGTATTGGGTTTGTTCCCCGTCTTGTCGCAACGATCACGCGTGTATCGCTCTCGCCTCAGACTCGAGTATCGAGATAAATCTTTAATACGATTAAAATATTCCTCTCTATTAGCATAAAATCTTGAAGAGTTGATCTTAACGAATTGCAAAAACGATGTAATGATAGTATAATAATAACAATTAACAATGAATGGAGAGAAAGAGAGAGCAAGAGAGTCATATAAAATCCATTTTTTGTACCCCATTTAAGAGTTAATTGATAAGTACTTGTATTATATTGTTAACGAGTTTCTTTAAGAGTATTTAATAAGTTATATCATATTTGTCTTTTCTTCTCGCCAGAATGGGGATAAATTACATTGCAAACGAGCTGCTTTATTACTAATCGGTTAGTCTATGATAATTTTTGGTCTTTTATTCTATTTCGGTCGAACGATACGGATCGTTTACCGCGACATTGTTGCAAATGAAAATACTGGTTAGACTGGTCTTAAGTGTTTCCGCGCGCACACGCGTCCCTGTTATTAGAACCACGAGGGAGATAAGAAGCCCAGCATAGCTGGCAACATCACTCTTACAGATTCATTAGCGACTTCTCGGTCGCTCACGAAGATGATGAGTAATAGCTATCAAGTAGGCCGGAAAATGAAGGCATGACCTTATGTCTGCTTGTTTTCTTTTTATATTCTTGTCTTATGAGAGGAAAAAAATAAGCGTACAGAAACAAGAATATCATTCTTGTAGGCGACAGCGTTATAAATATCACAAAATAGCTAGCGAAGTTCTCTTCTCGAAAGAACCAGTATCTTAAAATCTCGACGACTACGACAAATTTCTGGCTCAACATTCCTGTTACGGACGCTAATGAGGAGAAGCTAATGATCGCGGGGCGTAGTATTTTATAATGAATTAAGATTGTCTACGACGATTAATTAACGACTGTGTATAGACGCGCGAATTGCATGTAAAACAAGGAATTGGTATGTTACTGTCACTGCGCAAGCGACGTTTATCTTCCATTCATAACCACGGTTATCCTTAGGTCCGTTTTACGCGATACTCTCGATAGCAAGACGCATTCACGATCTCGCGTCGTCGCATACCGCATGTCACCTGCGGGTCAATTATATAGATGTGCGATGCGGCTTTATGCTGACGCACCGTTATAATGGCTAGTATCCCTCGATAACAACATTATTTCGATAATCGTGAAAACCGTAAAATCCCTAATAAGAAGATTTAATCACTAATGATTTACCTATCTCATTAAATGTATTCAAATACGTTGGACATAGTAATGAGTTTTTATTTTCCTCTCTATCTCTCTTTTCTTTTCATATATTAATATTTTTTAAATTTATTATGTATATATATGCAATAAATAAAAATAAATGAGATCCCTAGTTTTTCCCAGGACAGAAATAACAAATTGAAATGCCTGCGTAGATTTCCGAACTGCAAACGTATGCGTGAGAAACGACAGAAATTATGCTGGCATTAACTCATGCCGGCATAATAGCGTCGCCACGATTGTTACAGAGGCGCGTCTGAGATTACAAGTTGTAAACGTTAATGAGAACAAACGCGCAGGATAATAAAGTATCGTTTCGGTTTTTTAGTTTCGCGTGATATCGTCGTACCTCATCCGTGACGATAATTACCGTATCGACGTAATTCTACGCACAAATGGATGCACAAGAATCGCGTTACACGACGAT